CCTTTCTGTAACTTTTCACTCAACTCATGTTGAGATTATATACGTAGAACATCACCGAAATAAAACGGTGATAACATTCTAACGTATCTAGAGAAAGACAAACATATTGTCACAATTCTCTATGAATCACGCGAGTTTATTGCGGTTAAAGGAAAAAAAATCATTTTGATTTTTTAAACTTGACTTGTTTGATACTAATAGATATATTTTACAACATGTTAGGACTGCGCGCGTAGTAAGAACCAGTCCAAGTTTCCAAGGTTTGGGCTTTTCTGTAACGAATAGGCGATTGTAAAACATATCTATTAGTATTAAATCGAATAATTAAATTCTCGTGCTGACTCGATGAGTAAAACTAAAAACTTATGTTTAAAAAATTAAAAACTATAGAATTAAAATTCTCTTTTATACCTGTTTATTGCTGGAATTCGTTTTGTACCATATTCTGGTGCAAAAAATTTATAATAAGATATATTTAATATTTTTAAATTTTGAATTGTCCATGAATTTAAATTTGTTAATATCCCATATAATAATTTATGATGTGAAAATTCATCTGATATTGTTAATGGATTAAATAATTTTGTTTGCATAGAATAACTTGTTCTACTTGATATTGAACGATTTGACGTTTTACGTGTTTGTAAACGTTGTAATCGTCTCATAATATATGGTGAATAAGCATGATAAATTTGTTCCATTGTATTATTAGGTGATGGAGAAATTGCATGATAAAAACGATCTTCATCATTATCTTCCATATCATCAATTTCCATTTCAGTTATTTTTCGTTTTGATAATGTAGATAATAATTGAAAACTTGTTTGATTTTTATGATAATGATTTTGATTAAATAATATATTCAATTCATTTAAATTATGTACATTCAATATTCGACATTCTAAACTTGATAAATATTTGACATTTAATGTTACACGTTTTAGACATGTGATATTTTTAGAAAATAAACTTAATGTAAAATCATTTAATAAATCAATTGATGTCATATAATCAAAAAGACGTTCACTTAAAATTGTATTCAATTGATAATCACGTTGTAGAAAATAATCACGAAAAAAATATAATGTTTTTTCATGTAAATTTTGATTAGTAGTATGATCACTGTTGGATAAATTAATTTGATGTTTATCATACTAAAATTAAAAATCATAGAAGTAAAATTATAAGAGATATTTTCTTTGTAATAAATTAACATCTCTGTAAAAAAGTTATTATTTAGTCAATTGATTCTCTCTATGTGTGGTAGTCATGTGCATACTGTTTACCTTTACCATTGAACTATCCATTGCATTATCAGAAGCAAATAGTTTTACATTTGTTTCAGATTGATACTTTGTTGGCCGTATATTAGTACTATCTATTTGTTGTATTTTTTCTTCAACATATTTTTTCCAATTATATTCATCAGCTTTTATTAATGTACGAAGTTTTCTTAAACAAATTGTTCCCAATTTATCAGGATTATCCGCCATACGTTTGTCTTTTTACTTTTATGGCAAGTTATTATTATTAACGTCTATGATTTAATAAGTTGTCGAGAAAAAGGATGTTAATTAATATTTTATAGATGTTTACACTTCTGTTGTTAACATTGATCTAAAACAAAGAATTTATCATATAAGTTGTTGATTAGATGACTAATAGAATCATCAGATAAAATATATGTGACACAGGAAAAGATGATAGTTTCGGTAAAATTTTATTAACGTTCAATCTACAACGATCTTTATTCAACGGAGTGCATGGAAATGATAACATTTCACTACAAGACGAAGATATATTTTTCTATCTAGTAAGAGAATAATGTAATAATGTATTTGGTTGGTTTTTGCTGTTTACTAAAGGAAAGAAAATAACAATAACAATAGACTAAAATAATGGTGATGATAAATACTAATAAGAATTTTTTCTGAAAACAAACAAGAAAAAGTGAATAGAAAAACAACTTTTTTTTGTCTATTATCTTTCAAATTTTATTTTTAATGTAGAATTATGAAAGAATGACGTTCATTGACACGGCAACAATAAAAACTAGCAAATAAATAATAAAAATTAACCTAAAAAAGCAAAACACTGGACTTTTATTAAACCGTCTTTTAAAAACAAAAACTCCCATAGAGTCCACATTTTAAACTACTTTCACATAAATAGCTATTTCTTTTTGCATTCGACTTTTGCACAACTCGCAAAGGAAACAAATTTTGTGTAGATAATAGAAAGAAGCAGTTAACAAACTTTTAACTCATAGTTTTGAGAGAGATGATTCACGCAAAAAATGCCAAACAAAAAACACTAACAAATAAAATTGAATAACAAGACTTCGTTTATTGCTGAATAGTTGAGATAGAGAGAAAAAAACAAAACCCAAATTAATGGTGATGATCGTCATGATCGTGATCATGAGAGTGTCCGTGACCATGGTAATGAGAATGACCGTGGTCACCTAAAGAAGAAGACTGTGTAAAGACCTCTTGCTGAGAGGATGCAGATGGTTCTATTGGAGGCGAAATAGAAGAAACAGCAGATTGTATTGGAGCCATAGCTGATGGTGAAAACGATTGTGGCATTGTTGATGAATACATTGTATTTAATTGAAATGGAGGCATCATTGGTTGCTGTTGTTGTTGTGGATGTTGAGAAAATTGATGTTGTTGTTGTTCGCCTAATAATGGGGCGGAAAACAAAGGAAGATCAGAAACGGTACTTGTTAAAGGAACATGAATTGTTGCTGGTTGAAAATACTGTTGTTGTCTTTGATCGGGCATATTAAATGCTGATAATGGAGGATGCACGGCATTTGTTTGTTGTTGTTCATTCGATGAAAAATGCATATCATTATTGCTTCGGTTTACAAAAGATGATGTTGAACTAGTTGTCGGGGCTGTTACTGGATTTATCGTTAGATCTCCAAAATACCTGAAGTAAATAAACAAATACAAAAAGAATGTTTGTACACATTTATCAGAAAATATAGTTGTGTTACTGATTCCTGTATGAAAATATTGAGAAGCCAATATCTGAAACTTATCGAGACTCAATTTTTATCTAACTCAGATTATTCAACACACTTTTACAAGTTCACAGGCTCAATTAGACATCTGAACAGAATGCCTTTAACAGATCTTATGCTCATTTTCTTACTTAGCAAATTGACTAGGATCAGAATTTTGATTCGTTGTTGTAGTTGGATGCGGTGTCGCTGAAGCTGACTTTATCTGGGAAAATGCTTCGTTCGTGTTTGCTGTTGTTGTGATCGATCCTGTCGATGGCATGAACATTGGCATTGAGACAGTTATCGGGGGAAAACCAGGTAAATGTATTGGTTGTAACGTGAAACCAAGTCCTTGATTCATATTACCCGGTTGTGGAACAGATGCCAGCAGCGGTTGTCCGACAACTGTTGATGTTTGTGCAAGATTTGTCTGAGAAATTTGCTGTTGTGATTGTTTAAATGGATCAACGGACGATGTTCCATTCATTTGTGAATTTGGCGTTGCTGATGGAAGATTTGTAAAAGTTCTTATCGGAATTCGATGTAAATATCCATAGCCGATGCCGCATCCCAGCGAACCTTCTCCACCCCAGCCAGCATTTGGTGTTAATGTGACTTCTCTAGTCATATCACTTTCACTATTATAAACATATAATTTCAATTGTTTGCCTTCATTCCCTTCAATTAGCGTAAATAAATCTTCTGAATCATTTAATAAAGTGTCGGCACCAATAATGTAATCGGTGAACGAACGTAAACCAGCTAACGATGCGGGCGAATGTTGTTGGACATCAAGAACATGCCAGACATTTTCATTTGCTTTATCAAATGTGCAAAATCTAATACTAAGACCGAGTAACCCCTAGAGTGAAAAAAATAAAATATCTCGCAAGAATATCTAAAAAATGTCGATAGGCGTACCTGACCACCCCAACCTTCGTGCGGTATTAACGCTAATTGGCGTACAGTTTGCGTTTTACTACTGTATACTAATAGCTCTACTGGTTTTGCAACATTTTGTTTTAGAACTTCTTTAAATGTATCATTATCTTGATCTAAACGTATTCCATTTATTGTCACAATAAAATCGAAATAAGCTTCTAATCCAGCTTTATGACCGGGTGAACCATCTTGCACTCGTAAAACCTAAAGAGAGACACCAAAAAGGGAAGTACTTCTTGTATCACTAAGAGACAAGATTTAAGACATACATGAAAACCTTCAGTACCACCACCAGGGATTTTGACTGAACTACTACCTAAACCCATTTGAAAGATCGAACGAATTTGATTCTAGATCTAAAGGAAAAACATATACATGTCATACTCCATCTTAGTAGAGGAACGAAAGTCTCATAAATTTTGTTTACTGTATGTAACATCTATGAAAACAAATCGCTATAACAATACAATAATTGATATTTTTACAAGTTCGTCTGATGCATTTTCTAACATGATAACAACTGTGAAACTGAATGCAAACTAGTAGATTAGATAGTGGTATATTTTTATTTGTTTATAACGTTAGAGACAAGTATAAAACAAGTTTTACAGGCCTTTTTCACAACAATGCTCAATCTATTCAATTTTGGTATTAAAATATTCTCGCTCACATTTTTCATTAGCATGAAAGTCGAACTGGTGTTGGTAAAACATTTGGCGATAGTAATTTTTTATTTGTTTTAGAAATAGTCATTGGTATTGAACGACGTTGTTTTCACTCTTTCATCACTCAAAAGAACCGTTACATTTTTGGAAATCATTGAAGTTGTGTGAATGAAAACTTTTTGATATGATGAATTTCTTTCTCTGAAGAACACTAATGAATGTAATGTGTCATCCGGTGCCGTATTTTACATAGATCACAAAACCTGATGTTTATTTGAAAATTAGTGTTGAAAAAAACGAAGTAACCTTTAAGATACTTCTCAAAATGTTCCCAGATGCTGCTGATTCTACCATCTTTATCCATTATAACGGTCTAGGGTACGGCATTTTAGACCCATGGTAGAAACACAGATTCATCCGCATAAGTAGTGGAGGACCTTGATGATGCACACCTTAGCCTTGCCTATAAGTTTTTGTTTTGTGTTTTTCTGAAGCACACCGAATTTATTTGGTCAGAAAAATGATCGCGTAATGCAAAAACAATTTTTGTATGTCCAAGGGTTGCAAAAAAATGTTGTCCTATTTCGATGGTCGAATTATGCTCTTGTACTTTTAAAATAGTCTTTTATTCTTAACACAAAGTCACTTCTTTTTCAATGACTCTCGATCGACAATGTCAGTAGTCATAGCGTATGACCATAGGTCTCATGTTCTTAACCAATCGCTGATTGTATATCACCATGCTGAGAACTTGATTGTCAAGCCTCTTAGTTTCTCTTACATTCTTAGTGCTCTTTCATATCCATGTCTGACATCTAGCAGAAAATGATTCATCACTTCTTCTATTCTACAATGGGACAAACAACTGACATTGTACCTATCGTATTCGTGAGAGATAAAAACAGGAAGATTTATGACGAATAGCATAACTTGAAAGTCCTACATGTAGTTTAAAGATGGTTAGTTTAGGCGGTGACTAAGTAAAAATAGTCACTACCGTTTAAAGTAGTTGGTTCGTTGTTTCCTTTTATTTCTACTTGTTCGCTTTTCCTAAAGCGAAGATTTTGCAGCTCTAAATAGCAAAAATGTGCAAGAGGTACGATTCAGAGCAATCGTGCAGCAACAAACAATGTGAAAGAGGCAGTTTTCGGAAGAAATATAAATATCTTTTAAATGAGCCAAAAGTTTTATAGTTAAAGAAAGTATATCTAAAATTGTTGGAAGTAAAAAAAATGCGGATTCAGAGAGGCATCTAAGTGAATTTCATTGAATACTATGGTTTTTGAACCGTTTACAACGAATGGGATATCGGTCGTAAAATACATTTTACTTATTGGATTAAGCCATTTTGTGGAGCTGCTATTTGGAGCCAAAAGGAAACAACAAATATCAGTTTTATATTCTCTTAGCCGAAAATAACAGCAGCCGATAATAGCAACGGATAAAATAAAGTTTAGTAAAAAGTTTGCCGAAAATAAGAAAAAAGTGTAGAGAACCAATATGGTTGACAGAAATTAAAGATGTCGAAAGTGTTTTTACGTAGAATTTAACAAAATTAAAAGATAAACAGATGTTTCTCACATCCCCAGTCATCAGTAGTATTCTAAATCGATGAATTATTTTTTTCTGAAGTGTTTAATTCAGCGGTAATTCATGGATAAGGTTAGTTCGCGTGAATATACTGATCAGAATTTATATTCATACATTTCATCAGCCAAAATAATCGTAAGATTTTTTCCGCTTCTGACTATAATTTCTCAATTAGTTGACAGATGGGGATGATTCAATTCTTATAAAAATCTGTCTCAGTATCTTGTACCACAAATTTAACAGTCATTTGCAATATTCCACGGTGATAGCTTTTATTTATTTATTTATTTTTCGGTTCTTTTATTCTATTTTAATGTAGTTTACTTTGTTTGTCATTTTACTTGTTTAGTTTAACTTCGTTCTTTCTGTCTTTTTCTATAATCTTTCTTTTGTCTGTTATCATTCCTCAGTTTTTATTGTTCAGCTTGAGTCATTGTCATTACCGGTCGGTGACTTTTGATGACTCTCATATTTCGTGAATAAATCAGTCTTAGTCTTAAGTTGCAAATCGTTTTTTCAATGAAATTAAGTGGACAATATGTAATTGATGACGCTGATGTCAAATATGAGTATCAAAGTTAACCTTAGACTTTTGTTGACTGGTTTCCTGATAACTGAAACTCCAGAAAACCAGAGCCCAAATATTTCTGAATCGATCAGTTTGTAGAGGACACGCATCTGTTTATGTTCCATAACTTTCAGTTTTTGGAAACAAGAATGAACAAACAATGCTATAATTTTGCAAAGTATCCTACTGCAACGTTTTCCTATCAAAACCTACGTAACCACTCTTTTTGGAAATTTTCCTACACTGTTCACTCTCGTTCTAATAAACTAAAACTTAGGGAACATGGACAGATTTGTGTCGTTTACAAACTGACAGATTCAGAAAAAGTTTCTGGATTTGATCCCTAGATTTCTGGAGGTCCAGTTGTCGGAAAATCAGTCATCAAAAGCCTAAAGGCGATTCCGTTTAAGTTAAGTCTTAGAAGAATGCAAAAGGAATAAACTCGACGCTGAATCTCAAGAGAAACTACACCAGAGACACGATTCAATGCTTCCAGCTTGTGCCGACAAGCAAGAGGAATATCCTTAGCATGTTCATTTCACTTTAGATTGTGCGAACCAAGACAGCAAACAGGAGGATATTTGTTTAAATATAATTGATTGAAAATAAATGGAAAGAAAAAATGACGTCAGGAAGGTTTAGATACTGTTATGTTTATCAAAGAATGTTTATTCTTATATAAACACATGACCTTCCCTGACTCGGGAACGTTGAGTCAGAATTATTCGTTGTTCTTTTATTCTTATTCCATGAGTCAACGAGAGGTTTTCTTTTTGTTCTGTATAAAGAAGCGTGTTTTCGTTGTTTTAATAAATAATGGATACATTTAAAGACATAAGTTTAGAAGACGGTGAGCTTGAGAATTTTGTCAAGATGGGTGAAGGGTACACAAAAAGTCTTGTTTTTTAGTCATCATTTTTTTAAGTCCAAATTGTATATTTTCTTGTAGAAAAAATACTAAATCATAGTGTCATTGTTATAGTAGACATTGTATCTTAGCTTCTAAGCTAGAAGAATGTAAGTTTTCATCGTAAGAATATTGTTTTATTCCACTAATGAGGGAAGGTCCCCAGGTGTTTCCCTGGGATTTCAAAGTAATGTACCCCACTTTGCTAATTTAAGGATGTTGATTACGAATCTGAAAACCATTCGTACTCTCGTTCAATCCTTCAAGAGTTATAAGCATTTTATTTTAATCGTAGCGAAAAGTACCATATTTTGAAAAACTCACAGCTTTTCATAGAAATGTTCAATAGAGCTGAGAGATATGCCATTCTACAGATAAACACCTTAGCTATAAAATGATATGTGTTTTAGTTTCAGAGAACGTTTGATTGTTAAGTAAAAAAAATTTTAAAATGTTGCACATTTTCCACTTGTTTTATGTTTCTTTTTGAAAATGTTTAGAAAAATTTGCCATATATTACCACAAGATTTCATTCTGTTGCATCATGGCAGTCGTGGTGACAATCAAGCTAAAACACATATCATTTTATAGCTAAGGTGTTTATCTGTAGAATGGCATATCTCTCAGCTCTATTGAACATTTCTATAAAAAGCTGTGAGTTTTTCAAAATATGATACTTTTCGCTACGATTAAAATAAAATGCTTATAACTCTTGAAGGATTGAACGAGAGCACGAGTGGTTTTCAGATTCGTAATCAACATCCTTAAATTAGCAAAGTGGGGTACATTACTTTGAAATCCCAGGGAAACACCTGGGGACCTTCCCTTGTAAGCATGCATTAATCAAACGGTAAATTCCACTAAATATGTTCACATTTTATGTTCACTTTATTACAAAGTACTCTTCGAAAGTTTGCCAATATTTTATTATCCATTGACAAGAAGACTTCTCAATTTTAATAGCAATATTACTATATCTCATTTATATTTTATTTTAAGAGTGTATATTATTGGCAAAAATAAAGATTAAATGTCTGCTCGTTTCGCAAGGATAGATTGATAAATTTACTTGTTACTCGAAAATAAGAACTTGATTACTAGACCTTCCCAAGTTCAGGTTTCGTTCAGAACTGATGAACTTTTCAAAACGCTATATTCGGCGAACTGAACTGGTCGAACAGTTCTTTTGAGCGAGCTGAACGTCGTCTTTCAGCTGCTACACTGACATAGTCACACGGTGTTGTTCCCTGTGTTAGAACTTCACAGATGTGGCAGTCATTCAGAATGCTGTGGAGAGAATGCTTTCGTAAGTCAAAAAGAGTGGAACATACGGCGGGCCAATAGCAAACAAAGAGCGTGTCATTACTTTCTTCCACTCTTGTGAATGAATGTCTGACCGTAGCAGTATTCTAAAAACATCTATGAGAGAGTTGTGTTGAATGAGCAGGATAGGTTTCCTTCAGACAGACGTTTATCTTGTGAAAGTTTTTGTAGCGCATACTAATCATTTCTTGTGCGTTTTCTAGATGATTTTACTACGTTCACACACAGATTCTCTACCAATCAAAGCGCTTTACGAAAGCCTTACTTTTAACCAGGCTTTCGTAATGCTGCGGGTCTGGATGAAACCTGACCAACGAAAAGAAAATACCTATATGTATAACGATAGAGAGACATATATATATATAAAGAATCACCACCACAGTCGACGTTCAGCTCGCTCAAAAGAACTGTTCGACCAGTTCAGCTTGTTCAAAACGAACTGTTCGACCAGTTCAGCTTGTTCAAAACGAACTGTTCGACCAGTTCAGCTTGTTCAAAACGAACTGTTCGAAAAGTTCAGCTCGCTCGAAAAGAACTTTTGAACAGTTCAGCTCGCTCGAAAAGAACTTTTGAACAGTTCAGCTCGCTCGAAAAGAACTTTTGAACAGTTCTTTCGCTCATTTGAACGGAGTTCGTGAACGTGAGCTGGTGAACCCCTATTGATTACTCTTTTCATAAAACTTAAAGCATAAAATAATGTACTAATATAAAATTTTTTCTTAGACTTTTCTTGATTCAAAAAATGTCTTTTAATGTCTGAACAAATTAACGATAATAGTATTTTATACCAGCTTGTAAATGAATGGTATGGTGCATTGAACATTCGAAAACCGTTGTCATCCGGTCATTTATCAAATCAATGGTTAAATTTGTGGTTTGCAAAGGGTGAACAACAAATAATTGTGGATAAAAAATTACTGTACTATCGTTCAGCTATTGATAATAATTTGAATTACAAACCAACATCGATTATTGAAAGTATGGGTATGATTATACTATATGATCAAATAACACGAAATATATTTCGTGGAAGTGATATGGCTTATAAATATGATGAAATTGCTCGAAATATTGCTCTAGATTTAGTTAAAAATTATGAACAATTACCAATTCAATTGCAAATTACTATCGTAATATGTTTGATTCATTCAGAAAATATTGATCATCATTTATTAGTAAAAAATCTAATTGAAAACTACATATCAAAATCTCAGTATATTGATCAAAATGTACTCTCATCCTTAAATGGTATAGCTAAAAATCATTTTGAACGTATATCACTATTTGCACGTATACCGGAACGTAATCAATTTTTAAACAGAACATCAACAGAACAAGAAATAGCCTTTATGAATGCAGTCAATAAAGGATCTCTTTAATTCTGTATATTTTGTAATCTATTTCTCTGTGTAAAAAAAAAAAATAATAAGTTCTAAAAACACAACTTTAGTATGACGAATGATCTACTTTATGCATATAAATACTAGGAAAGAAGATACACTAGATGGCAATCACGCCACGCGAGACCTGCGAATACAGTGCGAAGCAAATCACACAATTTAGTGTCTTGAAAAATAAAGTTGTGTCACAATTATCTATAACACAGTAATGCGTATACAAGTTCAATCAATATGATACCACTCACTAGCAAACTTCATAAGGCGCCTGTACACTACGATCAATTACCGATTTTCTTGAACAATTTCTAACGGCTGTCCCATAGAGAATGAGACATTTTTATTTTCGCTATAACTTCGTCAGTTTTGACACTATCGACCAAATTTTTGTTTTAAAAGATTCGCCATTCAATTCACTACAAGAATATGTCAAAACTTTTTGTTGTAAAACATAAAGAAGAAAAATTATATAAAGAATACTGAGACGCTTCAACATGTTCAACTTTCTTAGACAAAAAATTGTCTTTTTGGTTCCATTCGTTGGATTTTTGAACCTACAAAAGAAACAAGTAGTCATTTTGTAGCGCTTGAAAAGTTCTATCGTTCAACTATGTTAGAAAATGTTTTGCATCAGTACCTGTTGCATAGGCGAATTATTTCTTTTTTCAGATTTCGCAAAAATCACGTTTTTAAATTAGCGATTTGGGGTTCTCAGAAAATTTACATGAGTCGATCAAGAATTAATCTTTCCAGCTTGGCTTGTCTTTTAATTTGAAGAGAAATGAATGGCGCATTAGACTAAAACTTTAGAGTTTGAATATAGTCCTTCATTCGGATGTAATGCGTAAAATAAGCAAAGTTTTATGTCATTTCGGCTCAGTTTTAATAAAGTAGTATTTACCTCATAACACTTGGTTGAGACGGACTTCATTGTAGATCAAGCGAAAGGGCGCACTTTGCTGTGCTCGAAAAACTTACTCTGTCATGTTATCATATTTGCGAAAGAGATAGAAAAAAAGGCAAAACTGTTCAGGAAAACCAAGAAAAACTACTTTAGAAAGTTGGACATGTTAAAGCTTCTCAGTATTCTTTATATAATTTTTCTTCTTTATGTTTTACAACAAAAGTTTGGACATATTCTTGTAGAGAATTTAATGACGAATCTTTCTAAAAAAAAATTGGTTCGATCGAATAAAAACTGACGGAGTTATAGCGAAAACAAAAACGTTCCATTCTTTGTAGGACACCCGTTAAGTACATAACATTCAATCCACCTACTTTCAGATGCCTTAGAAAGCGCACGCAACATCCCAACAACCTGAGAAAGGGACCTTCCAACGTTCAGCCCTGATTCTATCTGCTTGTTTTTCAATTTTTTGAAACAGCACTTGTACTTGTCGGAAAAATTGTCACAGAAAATGACACTTTTTCTGATCTAGGCATAAAACGACGCACATGACCACGATAATGCGCTATGCTTCGCATCACATTAATAATGAATGGATGCCCTGCAACTCTATTTTCTAACATGCAAAAGTATACCGTTCATTTTGAAGGATTTAACATGGATCAAAGTAAAAACGATGACTGGTATATGAGGGTGACGGGAAGCAATGACCGGAAATTCGTATAAAGATATAGAAATGATGATTTTCTACGAAAAATCCTGGATTACTATGACTAAAGAACTAAATACGAAAAGAAATAATTATCGGTGTTTTAATAATAAGATAAGAAAATGAAATGTTATATGCACATAACAGAATGTCATATTTTCGCTGTATCATTGAACTTATGGCTACAAAGGAGAACCAACTTTAAACTTAAACGTCTGACAAAGGAAAGCCTTAAAAGTTTTCATGTAAGAGAATGAAAGTTAGGAGTAATAAATGTTCTAAAAACCTTGATAAAATACTACAGAGTGACCCAAAGTGACTTTACCGAGGTAGACACACATTCTGTACATTTTTATTTTGATTGAGCTCGTTTTTATACCAAAAGATTCCCCGTTGAATTCTCTACAAAAAATGTACTCTTTTATTGTAAAATCCGAAGGTGCAAAATGCTTGGAGAAATTGTGAGAATTACCAAAATGTAGAAAAAATAAACGTAATTAACAGTTTTTTTTAGTATTATCTGCTAAAAGTTTACGAGAGAGGAAAGCTGAAGTAGTCACCACGTACGTCTTGAAAAGCCGTATTTTTCATCCATAATTTAAATAATTTGCAGTTAGAATTAAGGGCGCAAGAATTTCATTTTTTTTGCCAATTTTTCAAAAATGACGATGTTTTTACCAATAATTTGAGCCTTCTAATAAAACAAATAAAGATTAGTCAAACTTGATCCATTCAGATTAATTTTTTTAATTTTGAAAACAAGTGATTAGTCGTTATGATCGGATCTCTAAGATTTGGAAAAAAAAATTTGTTTTGATTCACCGCGCAAAAAAAAAGGTAATAACTTTTTCTATTTTTATTTGATTGCTGAGAAGTTAATCTTTGCGTCGCATATTGAGATTCAAATGATTTTCATTCTACACGACGAGAAAGAGCGTATTTGACACTACACAAAACTATACTAAAACTATATTTTAATGCTTGTAAAACCATTTTTGGAAAAAATTTCGCTCTCTTGGAGAAAGTCCATTTATTTTTTCTGCATTTTGGTAATTCTCACAATTTCTCCAAGTATTTTGCATTTTCGGATTTTACAATAAAAGAGTACATTTTTTGTGGAGAATTCAACGGGGAAATCTTTTGATATAAAAACAAGCTCAATCAAAATAATGTGTGTCTACCTCGGTAAAGCCATTTTTGGGCCACCCCTGTATATCAAATATAACATGTAGAAAAATGATAGAAAATAAAATAGGAAAATAAAATACAAGTCGTATTGTTTCCTAATCTAGGAATTATCTATTATTCCGATAACGCTAACATCACGCGTGAATAGCTTCTTTCACATAAGGAGAATAAACAACGATTTGGTCAAATTCAGTATTTGAAGGAAAAAAAATGTATAAATGCATTTTATGCTAGTATTATTTATTTGTAAAAAGTTTCTTGTATATTAAAAATACTTTATAATTCTTATTCTGAATAAATACAAAATATTGTTACTGTTAAATAACAATCTTTTGTTTCTTTAACAATTGTGACATGTCTATCACATTTTAAATCCCATAAACATCGACTTGTCACTCTTAAATCTTGATTTTGTTTTTGACCCATACAAACATGTATAACGTATTTAAAACGATTAGATGGTAATTGTTTCATATGATATCGTAGTTGTTCAGATAAACGGGATGTAAACAACTTGGCATTATTTGGATCATATTGATAATCTTTTATCGCACTTTCAACAACCAGATTTCCAATACGTTTCACATTTGCAATTTCAATTCGTCGATCATCATCTGGTTCCATTCGAAATGTATTCTCATAACGAATAAATCGACGATCAAGATTACGTGGAATCGAATTCATTGACGATTGTCGACGATTACGACCCAATGATAGACGATGAGTTGAATTACGCGGCAATGAATCACGTTGAGTTGAATTACGAGGCAATGAATCTCGTTGAGTTAAATTACCATATAAAGAATCACGATGAGTTGAATTTTTACGAGGTAACGAATCACGATGATTTAAAATACGAGGCAACGAATCACGATGGATTTTCTTGCAGTTTGCGTTTCATTCCTCGAATAAAATTTCGAATTTCTTCTTCCATCCTCGCTTCATGATCATGTTGACCACTTTTTCGAATTATATTATTATTTATATCAATTGTAATCTATGCTGAACATTTATTTGTTGTACATTTGAACAGAATGCTTGAATCTTTATTAACATGTATTTTTCTAAATCGATAGTTGTTATAAAGTGCACAAATTTTATTATTTCAATTGGAATATTTGACTTTATTATCCTTTTTGGAATACTAAGATTCGTTGTCTCAATTTAAACGTTACACTTTATTATCTGTTTTAAAACTACATTTTATTGTCTCTTTTGAGTATGCTCAGTTTATTATCTTATACGGGGGTGAACCATAATGATATTTATAATAAAAGTTCATGTAGTACATTTCAAATAACATCTGTCAACTCTGTTGTATCCAAACCATGTCAGTGTTCGTATTTTCCTTATGGAAAATTAGAAAAACGAATGATAATAAAAACTTAATAGCTTTTGTCAATATCATAAGGAGAAAACTAACAAGGGCGCAAGAATTTCATTTTTTTTGCCAATTTTTCAAAAAATGACGATGTTTTTACCAATAATTTGAGCCTTCTAATAAAACAAATAAAGATTAGTCAAACTTGATCCATTCAGATTAATTTTTTTAATTTTGAAAAC